AGACAGACAGACAGAGGGACAGATAAAGAGAGAGAGAGAGAGAGAGAGAGAGAGAGAGAGAGAGAGAGAGAGAGAGGTACAGGTCAGATACTGCCTTGAGGTAGGTATAACCCAATTCACCCCCCATTTGTGAACCTTCTGCACTTCTCTTTATTTTTACAATAACTCTGCACGTCCAGACTTTTCCAGATGTCAGTCATTGAGTTTTTTTTTTTTTTTTTTTAATATAAACATGGGTTAATATTGCCATTAGGGGTCAATAAAAGAGAAATGGAATCAAATAAACAAGGCCAGTTGCATACTCACTATCAACAGTAAGCAGATGGCTGTCAATGCAGAGAGACTCCAATTCTTCATTCGGCACTGCAATATGGCTGAGCACCTGCAAACCACTCACCAGCCAGCCCCACAAGTCCAACCAACCTCATTTTAGACGGTGAGTCGATCACATGCGCTACCTTCTTCACCCAGAACATACGGTCATCATCCCAGTACCTAGAGTTATAGCTGCCCCAAATTCAGCTACAATGACCGCATGTTCTATTCGGGGGAAGACAGTAGCCCAACAACTCATCGATCAACTACACAATCAACTACACAATCAACTACACAATCAACTACACAATCAACAGTGGATCAAGAAAACATCTTGGACAGAGCGGATTAATGTATTTGAGTCATTTGACCACATATCTCTGCTGGCCCACACAGGCTGCAAAGGAAGTTTGCATCAAACACACGTCCTTACCAAGTCTTCGGAAAGAAGAGGTGCAGACGCATAAATCCATATGGGGATCCCTGGCTATTGAAACTAGACAGTACTCATCTCAACCAGATAGAAAAGTTTGTTCTATGTTATGCACACAAGCGGGCAAGTTCGTTGACTCAATTCCACGAGTTCCCCCGTTCTTTACCATACACCTCATCACACGCATCCTGCAAAATAGGAGTCGCCGATCGTCATAGCACACATCAACCCACCAAGCATAAAAAAACCTTCTCTCACCCCTTGGGTATAGGATGGAGGATAGAAGCTAGCTCACCAAACGTATTCGCTGTCTGTTATGCTCTGCTCTCAGAATTTCCGTGTCCTTTTCTAGCTTCTTGTTCCATTCCTCCAGTGCTCTTTCATCCTTCAAAGACACAATCAAGCCAACATGAAAAAGCCCAGTGTTAAAATCTATAAAACAAACAGCCTAGTGGGCACTTCCATCACTCCCCATGAGACAGAAGCTCGATACAGCCCAGTGTTAGAATCTATAAGACAAACAGCCTAGTGGCCACTTCCACCTTCCATCACTCCCCAAAGCATCGAACCCCTTGGTCTCAAACACTCCTTATGAAGTATGCTGAACTGCCTCTCTCTCCACACTTCTCCAAACCTCTCACCTTGCCACTTCATATCTCTGTCTTCTCTCTCCACACTTCTCCAAACCTCTCACCGTGCCACTTCATATCTCTGTCCTCACCATCTCCCTCACCTTTCCAGCGCCTCTTCCCTTATCTTCTTGTCAGCAGTTGTGAAGGAGGCAAGCATGGACCCCCTTGGTCTCCAAAAACTCCTAATGAAAGACGCCGAAATCCCTCTCTCCACACCTCTCACCTTCCCACTTTCAGATCTCTGTCCTCACCGTCTCCCTCCCGTTTCGTGCGCCTCTTCCCTTATCTTCTTGTCAGCAGTTGTGTGAAGCAGCCAAGAATTGATCCCCTTGGTCTCAAAAAACTCCTAATGAAAGATGCCGAACTCCCTCCCTCCAAACTTCTCCAACCCTCTCCCCCTGAGGCTTTCAAATATCTCTGTGCTCACCGTCTCCCTCGGCTTTCATGCCTTCCCTTATATCTTCTTGTCAGCAGTTGTAAAAAGCAGCAAGGTTCAAACTCCAGAAATGCTGCTTCCTACCATTCTCCAACTCCTCCTTCAATGAACTTCGCACACTGCAACCACCGCCTTCTTATCCAGACCACCCGCCTTTCCATCTCTAAAGCTCCTCCTCAATCGTGACCAGACCTTTTTCCTCCAGAACCCACACCATTCATTGAATTTGTTCCCTTTTTGCTCCACACTGTCAACATAGACATGCTGTAAGAAGTTACTAGTTGATCAGCGGACGGGAAGGAGCCTAAATCAACGGTCTTGAAAACTGATTTTATTTTATTGTTTCTCCCCTATGGCTGCACTGAGATTTCACACCATGTTGCAAGGCTTTCTGCAATGCACGTTCTGTTACGGACTCCGCCAGGGCTCGATCCCTAGTCTATCTTTTTGCTGTTTCGGTTGCATCCCATTTTCGGCCTGGCACCCCTTTTCCAAACCCCTCCTTTGGTACCGTAGGATTTTGGACAACTGGCGCCATGCTGCAATTCGGGCGCCACTTTCAAATACCACATTTTTCAGTTCTGCCCTCGGGGGCCTTTTCAGACATGCCCCTGGTACCGTACGTGTCACCGGTACTTATACCGGCTCCCCGTACGGTACGGRGACCRGTCTMRTACCAGTTTTCTGCTKCTGTACTCGTACTCAGTGTRACTTGCTCCTGTTCGGCATTCGGAATCCAAGACTTYGACTTTGTGTCCTTGCCCGTGTGTCTGCGTCCGACCCTCAGTCGTGTCGAGTGAGTGAGTGTGTGTGTGTGCTCTCACTCTCTCCCTCTCTCCTCTCCCTCGGCTCTCCCTGT